CCAGGAGCTGCTGGAACACGTGTACAGGTGATGACTATTTTGCTGACACAAATAACTACACATTATCAAGTCTTCATTTCACAAAGCACAAAAAGTGTAGCTAGACAGTGATCCCAATGGACACTTGCTCAGGAAGAGTGCAAGGCAGCTCCTAAACCCCTGCCATCCCAGCAGCCCCTCGCTGCTGCATCCGCTTCCCAACCCCACCCAGGCTGTGCCCTGCAGCTGAAGCCCAGGGTGTTCTTGCCAACAGCCACATCTGAGCAAAATGCCAGTGGCACTGGGACTGAGGACCTGGGAACACTGGCAAAATCCAGGAGGAATGATTTACATTCATTTCCAGCTGCTTTGGGAAAGCCAGGGAGAGGAGGAGCCTGTGGATGCTGAGGCCAGACCTGGGGGCAAGACTCATCATGGTACAGTTCAGTGGTGAACACGATGGTCCTGGGTTAATGTTGGACTCTTAGAGGTCTTTTCCAACCTGGATGATTCTGTGACACTGTGAACAGGCAATGGGGGTGCAAATGCAGCCCCACAGAGCCCGTGTTACACTTGCACGCAGGGTCAGGTCTCACAGCAGATCAGGGGGAAAGCTTCATGCAGGACAGCAGCTCCTGAATGCACAAAGTCCTCCCTGCCTGGCTCGGAGCCCTCTGACTGCTGCAGCTGAAGGGAGGACCTGCCACTGGCACTTCTCCTGTTGCCCAAGATCTCAGTCCCGAGGCACAGGAGCTGCTGCCCAGCTGCAGGGCTTCCCACCAGTGAGACCTGAGCTCCTGCTTCCAGAGCTGTCCTCATCCAACCAACCTTCAGAGAAACTAGTTGTATTCAGTCCTTTTCTGCTGCTTTTCCCTGTTCCCTTGTTTCTAATGCTTCTTTTCCTGTCTCCCAACTGCCCCACAGGTCACACTCTCCACACACCTCTCAAACTTTACAAGATGTTTTCTGAATTTTTACACTTTCCACCCTTTAGTTTTTGTGTGCACAAGAAGTACCTTGAACTCCTCAACTCCTGACAATGCTGCCTTGGATCAGGCCTTGGGCTGTCTCACCTGAGTCAGAAAGCATCAATTTTCCACCTAAAAATCAAGGATTTCCCATTTAAATGACCACTCTGCCACAACTTATATAGCTTACATAGCAGGGAGATGGAATTATGAGAGGAAGAGGGAGAAATCCAGTGTTTGGAAGAGTGGCACCATTGTCTGAGTATATAAATAAAGCAGGAGTTTATCATAATTTATTTATAAAAACTATTTCTAATCTAATTCTTTGCATATTATCTAGGGGCAAGAGAGACAAGACAAAAAAATGGTTCTTAATCAGGAATTGCCACATGGAATGGTTTTGATTAATATGCAAAACATAGATTATAAATAGATTTATAAATAAATGATCAACTACGGCTGCTGCTTTATTTATCTATGGACTTGCAGAAAATTTGAAGGCTGAATTCTGATTAAATGAGAATCACCACTAATGGTGGACTGGGTGGCTCAAAGGGACTGGTAAAGGAAAGTGAGAATGTATTTGCAGAGCACCTTTGATTCAGAAGAACTCCCAAGGGCTTTGCAGAATTAATATTATATTTTAGGGGTCACTTCATCCATTACTGAAATGCAGCCTCTGAGGAGGAGGGAAGATAACTTTTGCATCTGTTTCACCTTTCCTTGAAGATCTCTAAGCACTTTGCACACTAATTAAGCCTCCTATTGTATCTGTGCAATCCACTCCTCCTGCCAGTTACTAAGCCAATAAAAGCTAAAGTACTAGGAATAAAACCGTGGAAAATTCATCAGCTTGGTTGATGAAAGTTCACTTTACCTCCAGGTCATCAGGCTGAGGTCAGCTGGCACCTCAAAGAGGTGTCCTCAGCCGAACAGAGAACAACGTTCAGGTAAATCAGAAATTAGACCCTTTGTGACCCATATCACAGCCTCCCAAACTTGTCATCTAAGAGCACCACTGCATCCCATCATAATCCAAACCTCAGCCCCGAGGGGTGCAGTTCTGCCCAAGAGCCTGCATTTCTTTTCACTGCTCTGTTCCCCTCTGGAGACACACACACTGCCAGGGGACTGCAGTTCAACAACACACTGGAGGCCAACCCTAAAGACCTGACAGTTTGCAGATGCAACAGTCAGCCCTTCCCCATCTGTCCCAAACCTATTCCCCGGGGTCAGACTCGCCCATGGCCATCCAACAGCTGCCCCAGGGGAGACACATCCCCTGGAAGTGCCTGTGAGTGGGCTCAGCCACTTCCATTTACCTTGCCTTTGAAAAAATAAGAAAGGCAAAGCATTTCTTTTCATATGGCAAAGCTGTCCTGCCAAGTCAGTTTTCACAGCTGAGCACTTCCCAAGGTGCCAGTTCTGCAATTCAGGGCCTGGATGTGATCCCCTGAGCATGATGGATGGCTTTAAAATGAAGGCACTGCGAGAAGTACCAGCTGTCCAGGTGCACATTGGATTAGCATGGCTGAGCCACCCCTCCTCCTCCTCTGCATCCCTCTGAGGAGCTCATCCTGTGCAGGAGGAAGGCTTTGATGGCAGGAGAGACATGAGAGCCCAGCAGATATGAGCAGAGACACAGCCACACGCAGGTCGCACCTCACCCAAATGTGAGCCTGCTTTTACTCTGAAATAATTTGCTGTTACGTGGCAAGTTTGTGGGACTCCTTTTCAATTCCCTTTATCTGACCACCTTATTTCTGAATTCTTCACCTCAACAACCAGTAGCTAAGAGAAGAGGCAGACCAAATGCAAAATTAAATTCTTTTCTCTGAATAAACCAAGCCAACCTCCAACGACCCCCCATCTCCTACACACAATTCTTCCCAGTATCCATTCCAGCTTTCTAGATAACCGCTAGAAAGGGATTTAATTCTAAACTGCCCTGTTAATTAAGTTTCTTTTTGGAGTCCAGACTATGAAGACCATCTTTAAACACTCCTTGCAACCACCAGGGCCACCTTCATCGACGGACACCTGGGCTAAAATTCAGCCACACCACACAAGAAAGGCACCACTGTGGCTCCCTTCACAATGTGCAGATGCAACCTAAGAGTTCTTGAAAGGAGAAGGTTGGTCTCCATACAGGTTTTCTTGTCTTATAGAGCGTTATGAGACAGCACAGAACACGTTCTAGGGTTCTGGGGCAGCTGAATCTGTGACACCGCTCAAACTCCATTTAGTCCAAGCCACAGACCAGCACAGTCCTGCTCCCTCTCTCCACCCAGCCCAGTGACAACGTGGACAGTCTGTTGGCTGAACAGAGCCCATTTTACCACAGCAGTAACAGTCTGCCTGGAGAGAACATTCCCACTCACTGCCCAATTAGAAGAATGTTGAATGCACGGAAATGCCTTTTGAATAAACACTTGATAACCCTCAATAAAACTGTAAGAGAGAGTTACTGCAGATTTACTACCCAGGAAAGAAAAGCTCTTCACAGCACAGCCAAGAGCTTATTGCTTCTTACTTAATGCTGATAAATGCAAGATCTTCTCAATCCCACAGCAACCAGGGTTAAAGCAGCTTAGCGGGGAAATAAAATAAGTACCTTATGATGTGCCCACAGAGAGCTGGGGGAGAACCACAGGTTTGTCACAGTCCGGGGAGCAGTGTGTGCTTGCTCCAGGCTGTGTGGGATTTACCAAAGGGCACATCCCTCCTTTAGCAGCAGCACAAACATCTCTGCTCCACTGTGAGTGCATGTCCCAGCTTGCTGTGCAGTCACTGCTCAGGCCCTGCAGCTGCAGAGGTGAGATGGGGTGGGATTGCTGCCCTTTGGCTTTGGGACCTCCCTGGTTCTTGCAGGGAAAGCGCAGCTGTGAGACACATCGCTGCGGGGTAAGACCTCTCTTCCTGCTGCCTCACAGGGAGAAAAGGAGCACCCTGAAGTGAGCCGGGTGTCAGCCTTCCCTTCTCTGCCATGAGGATGCTTGACCTGTATTTGGGTTTTCTGGAAGCCTGTGGTTGGCGAGGAGGAAGGAAGGGGTTGGCTCTATTTACACTGCTGCAGGTTTCCCATCCCAGCTGCCCAGCCAGCTCGGGCAGCAGCCCTTCCTGCAGGAGCACAATGGGCATGTTCCCAACCCCAGGGGGGATACTGCAGCACATTTGCTCTGCAAATGAACGTTGACAGAAAGGTCTTGCCCTTGCTGATGAGCACTGATCTGTTGTTTTCTGTATTCACTGTTCTTGGTGATGGGGAAGTATTTACGGGATAATTTTGGTTTCCTCTCTAAGAAGTCCAGTGGGGAACAGCCCAGTGCTTAAAAAATAAACACCCAACAGAAATCATTGCTAATTCCCTTATCAACTGTGTTCACTTGGACAGGTTTCCTCCCTGGCAACCCTGTGCCTTACCTTGTTGGGAACAGCCAGGGTGCTGGGGCTCACAAACCCTGAGAGCTGAGCAGCCCTGCCTCTGCTCTGCCACCACCATGGCTGCAGAAGTGTCCCAGTGCTACACTTCCAGTTCTTCTCTTCCAAGAAAGGATCACTGAACAGGCTCAGCCAAGGGTATTCTCAGAGGTCCAGACACTTGTGTATCACAGAGTTTAACCACCCTCTTCAGCTATGGCAGTTCTTCCCATGGCACAGCCAATACTGGCTGGGGTTTGTTCTGTTTTAGCAGCAGCTGCTGTATTGAGGGAGCTGGGAAACTGTATTTGGAGGCTTGTCCTGCTCTCTCTGTTAATGCCACAGCAAGGAATCTTTGGGGTAATGGAGGAGGGTGATCAAAGAAAGTTTCCCTCTAGGCTCCCACTGTTATATCCTATCCAAAAATAATATTAAATGTGACCTACCATTGTAGTAATCAAAGAGGTAAAGTACTATTTTATATATTATTGGACTCCTCACACAAGCAAATGGAGTTACATTCCTACTGCTGTTCCAAGGGCTTTCTGAATAAAAAAGCATGATAAATAAACTCTGAAGAGGTTAAACCATTTAAAATTACACTACACTGTTTCTATAGGTCAAAAGCTGTATTATTGCACAAATGAGGGTGCATCAACATCTTCAAATCTTTTCTCATGTAAACCTTAATCATTGTGCATAGCAAAGATGGAGATTTGAGGGGTTTTTAAAGAGAGGAAAATGAGGCAAAGACGGGGGGGAAAGGGTTTTGTCAGGATCCTACAGTGGGTTGGTGGTGTGCTGGGACAGAGCATCTTCCCTGAATGACACTGGATGAAGGTTCAGAAGCTCATGCCCAGGAAGCTGCCAAGTACTGGTCTGTAAAGAAGAGAAAATAAGATTGTTCTAACCCAAAAATTGCTTAAAGAATAAAAAGTAACACTCGGTAACAAGGACACAGATGCTGGACTGTCCAACTTGTCCAAGTGATTTTTTTCTCCTCCTAAAACAATGGGACAAACCTTGCTTATTTCCTACATAAATGTTACATGTCTGCTGATCAGCACTGGAGTCCTTAAACCTCCACCCTTTTCACAATGTACAGTTTGGAAAACACTTTCAAGACACGGGTCCAAGTATGTGTAAAAAATGAGAATACTTACACGTAGCCTCTGGCACATTCCTAGCAGGCTGCTGCAGTTGTTCACACTAATTCAGTAAGAAAGGAGTATATAAATTAGATACCAGGCTGGTGTGTAATCAGTCTGTGCATGTTATTACAACAACTGGAACACCCTTGCACTCCATCTCCTGCATCACTAAATAAAAATCAGTAACAGACTAGTCTGTCTCTGATATCAGATATATTGTCTTAGGTTGCACACAGGAACTATCAAGACACAAAACTGAAAGAAAAGCCTTTGCTTTCTTTGCTTTCTCTATCAGAGAAAATCCTCTGATACTGCCATTTAAGCTGGAATTTGTTATGAAGGAGAAATAAGAGCTATAAAAGACACAACCCCCGCTATTTTCATAAACAAGACAGCCAAACTCAGAATTCTCCCAGTACAATGCCTTCAATTAATAATGTAAAATATCTGCCACCAATTATAAATCCTTTTTATGAATACTGAATGTGGTTTGTGTCTTTTCTTTCCCTTCATCAAATGCTATGAAGTGAAGGCTGTAATAGCATCCTGGCTATTGCTCTTTTTTTCCCACACAGTCATATCCAAATGTTTCAATGTTTCTTTAATGCTCCATTTCTCTTAATGGCAAATGAGGTTTCAAAATGTAGAGGAAGTTTTGAAAAGATATTGGTGAAACAACAAATTGGAAAATGAATGGAGGGAGAAAAACGAAGTAATACCTGCACCACATTATTTAAGTAGTAGAGGAAAATATTGGGAACATGAAGAGAGAAAGCTTTTAAATGCTTCCAGTAGTGATTGCTGTTATTTTGCAGAATTCTTCCTAGAAGAGCAGGGGGGAAATTATTAATGGAGATTTAGTACAATCTTGACTTATAAAAATGCAAACATTTTTATCGGAACTGTAAAAATTTCTAATGTAAAATGTTTTAAATCCAAAATTTGTTAGGATCTGCATTTTTCAATTATTAGGATCTGCATTTTTCAATTATTTCTGCAGTAAATGTTGTTTGAATTTGACTGAAACATCAGAAGTTTCAGTGCAACTGCAATACCCGCTCATTTTGCCATTTATTGACCTTTCCTGAACCTGCCATTCTTTCACAAGTTATGCCAGATCCCTACCACATTCAATCATTTCTCTGGGTTGTGAAAGATGCAATTTACATTGTGTAAGTTTTTATTTGCATAATATTTATCTTTAATGATAAATATTTATCTTAAATGATAAAGATTTATTTTTTTAAAGTTAGCAAAAAACAAGCAAACAAGTGCAAGCCCTGCACTAGAGGCAATATTGTTCTCTACAAGGAAACATTAACCACTGGTGTGGGTTTTTTTCCTTTTTCCACAGAAAAGTTGCGTTAGATTTGCTGTACAGGGACATTGCTATTACCCCCAGTCAATGAATACTACAGACACACAGGGCTTGGTTTCTTAGCATGGCTGTTGAATATCGTCTTACTCAAACCAGGGGTTCTCCACAACAGTAGTTAGGAGTTGGTGCAAAGTCCCGTCGCACAAAGGCTATTGAAAATTCAGCCCCACTGCTTCAGGACTAGGAGAAAAATTGCATCATTAGGAATCCTTTTTCCTTCTGAGCTGACACACTGCACTGAGGTGGCTTTTTCCCTTTGCAGCTTGTGTACAGAAGTTCAGGTCTTTCTGTTTTCCCTACCAGCTGCTCTACACACACTACCCCTGTCAGCAGGAAGGGACAGAAAAATGAATGAAGACTGATGATTAACGAAGAAAGAGGGTGAATATTAATCATGGAGTCAACGTTTGATGGGAACATTGATGGAATAGTGGTCCCACTGGAAGTAGTTAGGAGTTGATTTTTATGCCCCAGGGCAGTAGTTTTAAACTAGGACTCATGATGGAAGAGAGGTTGCTTGTAATGTTTTAAACAGGCCATTGTGGAAAACATACCTTCAGTCTCCCCCTGCCCCAGCTCCCTGACTCCCTTCTTTGTTGGGCTGAGTTGAGAGCATAGCCCAGGTCTGCTGTGCACCTACATTCCCCCAACCAGCCCAAACTGTAAAGATCAAACCTTTAAACAGAAGCAAAACAGGAACAGGACCTCTCAATTTTCCATTGCTGAGCTGCTAGAGAGCCCTCACCACCTGAGGCCACTCTCAAGAAATGCTGATGTTGGTGGTTCTGAGCAACTTTTCTGTTGTTCAGCACATTTGTTTTACACCAGGAAAAAGAGGAGAGTCTGGGACAACACACTTCCATAGCTAGGTCATTCAGGTCATTTGAATTTTGGCTACTTGCTACCTGCTCCAAACCTCTTTGAAGGTAAAAGAGGTCCCACCTCCATTCTGAAGCCTTGTAGACAAGCACTCTTAACCTCGGTGGGAATTTCCTGGATCTCTCCAGTTAGCAAGTGCCCTTGCAATCAATACCATATAGATATATATAAGTGCACAACCGATGCTCTTTTTTCTTTGGTATTACACAAAATCACTCATCATACCAGATCATCCATTTCGGTGCTGGAAAAGCCTTGAAGATGCTTCAGGTAAGTCTCATCCACATGCTAGACCCAGGCACTAGAATCCTGAAAGGAACAGACACATGAAAGACTGCAAAGACACTGCAGATTTACTGCACACATCAGTTTGAGCTGGACAGCCCCAGAAAGGACTTGTGAGCTGGGTTGGTGGACACCAACATCCAGCTCTTCCAATGGTCCTGCCATGCAAAATGGGCTTTTGCATATATCCAACAATTTCTGCTGCTGTTGTTTCAAAGTGGAATTATTTGGGGGAGGAGGGGAGATGCCAAAGAGAGGACTGCACTCAGAGCTGGTGTCAATTGCTGGTAATTCTGCTGAGGGCAATAAATTTAGGAATTTTCCCAGGGGTAGCTCTTTGGGTTTCCTATGGTGCTCCCTCAACTAAGCCCTCCCAGTACTCCAAAAGGATCCAGAATCACAGCACGTGAGCTCTTTCCTGAACTTTGCTCTGCAAATTAATCCATACCATAGCTCTCGTCAGGAAAATATAACATGCCCAACAGTTTTGTGTATGGGCAAAGTTATTTTTCTAAATAAAAGTCTAGTTTTAGAAGTACAAACAGCTTTCATACTCGCAGCAAATGGTTAGGCAGACAAATATAGAAGCAGACTCGGTTATACAGTCATTTTTTCTATAGATTTAGGCTGAGGTCTTTCACCTTTCAGGAATAATTGATTTCCCAAAAATGAAGCATGTCTGCTCACAGGATGCAGCTTGGCTACCCCTCCACCTGTGTGTCCCACAACATGAAGGAAAAAAGTAAAACTATTCCCTTGGTTTCAGCTATAGTGAAGAGTGAACTGGGCCACAGTGCAACAAGTCACAAAAAATCCCAAAGGCACAAAAAGGAAAGTCTCCCAAGTGTGCTGAGGCCAGAAGAAGCTGAACAGCAAAAGGTGTTTAATCGTCAGTGCTGCATTTTATCCAGAACATTGGGCCTTTAACAACCCAGAAACCTTCAGGTACATTCTCATAGTTAGTTAATGCTGCTCCACGGGTGGGTGATTTGCAGATATGCAGATTATTTGCCTGGGAGGAAATGTGTGGACCCAGCTCCTGGTTTTGCCCTCCAGTTCCCAGGGTATCCCTGACAGACACCGAGGATTGCTGCTTTGCCTGCAGAGCAGCTGCTTGGAGCAGCAGACACAGAGGGGAAGGCTCAGGCAGGTTTATTCTAACATTCTTATAACCCTGGGTGCTACCTCACAAAGGGTTCAATGCACTGCAGCTCCCCTGAATAAATAACTCCTTAATGCATCTGTCATTTCAGATGTCAGACCAGAGACAAGGTCAAGCTTGGAGAGAAATCAGCCTGCTCCATCCTTGACCCATCATTCATCACTGCATTTGTCCACAGCCAAACAGCCCAGCTGGTTAACTGGCTAAATACCTTATCTGAGCTCTAAAAGGTTCCATTTCTGCTACGGAGAAGTTTATTAATAACACTCCCCAGAAAGCAGCAGGAATTCTGGGGGACAGCTTTGCAGGGACATTTTTCAACAGAGAAGCTTAAAATCCTGCACTGTGCACCCAATCCACAGGCTGGGGAGACAAGAGGTTAATTTGGCAGACAGCAAACAGTGAGTGTTTGTAAGTTATGGGAGGATCAATGTGATGGGGATATACAAACCTTGCCTTCACCTCCCCTCATGTATCACCCTGCATGTCATCATCGCTGGCTCAGCACCACCACACCTCCCAGGTCCCCCTCACATCAGGAATTAGCATGGCCAGCTCTTCATTCTTAGCACTGCTTTCATGGGATTAGGCATGATTATTAAAATACACACCTGAACTCATGCTCGTTTGCATGGATTTACAGGAAAAGATTCCTGGTTCCTAAGGAAAAACAGAACTTTAAAAGGTGAAGCTTTGTCCCTAAAGCAAAAAACTATGTGCTTTAATCAGTCTTATAAATTGTGCCATTTGTGTGAGGGCTTGGAATCTGGGGGGGAATGAGGGGGAAAGAAGGGACTGAGAGAAGAAAAAAAGAAAGAAAAAGGAATATTTTGGTTTAGTACGTGAAAGTAACAGTTCCTGAACAAAGAAACATCAACAATAATCAAAAAAGAGCCAAAGCAGCTCCCTGTGTGGAAGTTGTCCCGGGGAGATTGAAACTAGGTAATCTTTAAGGTCCCTTCCAACCCAAACCATGAGATGATTCTGTGATTTGATGCAGAGCACTGTGGTGCTTTTGGGTCTTTAACTTAAGAGCCCTTATACAGAACAACTCAGCTACAGGAAAAATTGCACTTGGCCCAGTGAAAGAAAGACACAGATATTTGGGGTCTTTTCCCTCTTTGGTGCTCTTTTTCCTCTCTCCACTAAAATCCAGTTAAAGACAGAAGATCTCTTAATCCCTTGAATGCAGGATAGGCAGTGAAAAGTTAGGAAGCTTTGGCCCATCAGGTTCATTGGGGAGGTGGTTGCAGCTACTCTGTGATGGCTCAGTGTGCTCACAACCTTAGTAAACCTTAGCATAGCAGTAAATGCAGGACATACAACCCGCTGAGATTTGGTACAGACCCAGGCTGACCTCTAAGTTTGACTCCTTTCTGCTGAGACAGCTACACCTGCAACATACTGAGAAACTCTAATTTTTATACAAGCAGATTTCAATTAACAGTCAGTTTATGGCTCAGACACACAAGCAGGTTCCCACAGCATAAAAAGTTATCTCATCTAAGTTATGGTAAATATCCAAATATGAGCACTTTAACAATGACAGTGCAGCTTTCCTTCAAGGAACACACTAAAGCCACGTGTGATGGTCAAAACAGAGGAAAGGCAAACACTGAGATTACATACATGATGTTAACTCTGACCTTCTTCCTGGGCCTGCCATGACTTAACTGACTTTTTGGTCTTATGCAACTTTTGATCAGCTTTCAGGGGCACTGCAGTGCTGTGCACCAGTGGTGAAAGCTGGCTGCAAGGAAGTTATTTCCCTAGCTCATAATACTCTTTTCTCAAAGATTTTGTGTTCATTTGTGCATATCACTTGTATTACCCCGTATTCCAAGAGCCACCATATTTTGAGAGACAAGATAACTATGTCTTGTGACTACTTAAGCACTCAAATGGTACAAGTAGGTTGCCCAAATCATCAGTAACTGCTCTGACTACGTAAGAAAAAAGGTCTTTGGATTGCTGATGTGATGTAGTTGTTTAGAGATGGCTGAGATTTACAGAGACACGCACTGGATCCAGAACTGTGGATGGTGCTGGCGGAGGTGCCCATCACCTTGGGAATCCAAAGCTACACACAAAGTACCGCCTCATTTAAGGAATGAGTCTCTCTTGCCCTCCAGCATTTGTTACCCCCAGTCTTTCAGCATTTGTTACCCCCAATCTCTCAGCGTTCCCCAGCCAAGTTCACCCCACTGCTCTCCCGCTGCCGACTCAGCGGCTCCATCAGCCCTCGTTTGTTTGCTGGGAAATGTGTTCCTCTGCTTTGTTTCTTTGGACCTAACATTTTTATTTTTTGCCTCTTTCCTCCCTCCACAGGGTGACAGCTATTTTATCACCTACAACAAGAAATGCTGAGCCTGTTGTGCAGGCAAAACATTTGCAAAGGGGCAGGGGGTACACAGAAAGCAGTGGGAAATTGATAAGGGCTGTAAAGTAGCTTTATAAAAATGCCGACGAGCCTGTTCAGGGCACAGAGCACCTGCACCTCTGCCCCCGGCAGCGCTTCCTTCAGATGCTCCTATTGTTTTCATTACTATTTGTGACTCCATCATTAATAAATTACTATTTTTTTTCCCGTTGGCTCCAGCCACCAAGGGAGCCAGCAGGTGCACCACTTTTACAATTAGCCCTTCGTAATGCATGGTTGGCAAGAAAAGTTGTCCACGAGCTGCAGAGTTTACCAACTGGATTTCTGCTTGATGGCCACAGCACTTGGAGCAATTAGAGGAGAATTTGCAGGAAAGCACCTTAATGCATCTGCTCATCTGGCTGAAAACTCTGACAGAGGGGTTAAATCCAAAACTTTGAGTCCTGCTCATGAAGCCGGGTGATCTGACAGAGGAAGAACGCAGGGCAATGAGAGCAAGCCACGTCTTTTTAAAAGAATCATTTCTACCATATATTACATTATCCTGCTTTGCTTAACCTTACTACACATTTCAGATCAAATAGAAGTGAGGTGGGACTGAAAGGCTGATAAAAGTGGGCTTATTTTGGTTTGAGATGGGGCAGTAGAGCAGCAAAATCAGCAGGTTGCTTCATTAAATTCAGGTCTGCTCACAGGCACGGTTCTGCCTTCCCACAGCAGAGCTGTTGTACTCATTCGTGTTGGTAAAATTATGGATATACTGAATTCCCTTTGTCATCTGATATGACTTTCTAAATACCATCATATCTGCATTTTCCTACAGAAGAGTGCAGTGTGCCAACAGCAGCTAAGGGGAACAGACTGTGGTTGGTTTTGAGTGGGTCAGGGACTCTCAGCTTCTGGAGTGGAGATTATTTTAGTTGTATTGTGCACTTCTCCCCCACAGGAAAAAAGATACAAGAGAAAATACAGAGGACAAAGCATAAATTATTTGGTAATGCCTTAACAAATTGAACAAAAAGTGAAAAATCCAAGGAATAGTATCTTACCACAGATTTCAAAGTCAGCAAAGTCAGGGAAGTTGTGTGCCTGTTAGTTTGTGACTGTTTTCCTTCAGTCCTTGTGAACTCAGGTGTTTCCCACAGTTCTAGTGACAAAGCATCTCGGCATCTCTGTTAGAGACTCCCAGATGAAACACAGCACTCCTAAGGGAAGAGAAAAGAAGAAAAGATTATTAAAAATTACATGTTATATTGAAAACCAGCAAAATCAGAGCTTGCACAGAGCAGATCTGGCTCCATTGACTCTTCTGTCCTGCCTTTGAGAGCAGCTACTGCAAGATGCTCTGGAGGAGGAGGAATATGGCCTGCAGCAGGCAAACCTGGTATAATCTACTATGTATCAGGCTCTGATCTAGACACTGATTGAAGCTTTAATTCACAAGTCTTCTTCAAAAAAGTCTTTCCACAAAAGGCAAAACTTGACATTATATTCATGGTTTCAAAGAAGTATCCAAGATCCTTCTTGTGTGTTGCTAATTTGAACTGGACAAGAAAAAACCTTCAAACAAATTAAGAAATCCTTTTTTCCCCCCTCACTTTAGATGAAGGAAAAAAGCAGAAACTTTTCAGAAGAATGTCTTAAGAGGTCTGGAAATCGTCATGGCTTCAGCACAGCTACACAATAAGACAAGAAAGCCCTCTCTGCAGTTGATTTGAAGTAGAGGTCCAAATCTCTGGTGAGAATCCTGATGGCTGCATGACTGGGTCATTCTTTGTGACCCAACAAGTGTTAACTTCTTAAAGGAGCAAAATAACTCTGCCAGGAAAGACTGCAGACTTGAGCCAATAGCTCTTATAGCAAATCTAATGATTGAGACATCACAGGAGCACTTTGGGAGAGGAATCCCATCTGTGCCTGATCACCAAACCCATGAGCTCAGTTCACATTTGGTGCAGCTTCTGTTCCTTCCTGAGATGAACAAAAGCTCCCTGTGGTGAAAAAAGACAAAGTTTCACATCACCCAGGAGACTTACAAGGAAGAGAACTGAAGGCAGGACCAGTTCAGAAAGTGTTTTTAATAGGAAATCCAATGAACACCTGACTCAGAGACACAGAAGGAGGAACTTCTAATGTGGGGTCAAACTGATGCTTTTTGCATAGCTGAGGTATATCCTGACAGCACTACAGCTGCCATGATATTATTCTGATTTTCCTGTTTCCTGGAAATTCC